ATAATTTATATTATATTTAGACATTTTTTAGATATAACAGTTTGCTGTTTATATAATTCAATTTTTTTATCCCTGTTGAGACACATCTTAGAAAAAGTTTTTAAATTCTGTCTGGACAAAATGTTATTCCCCAAGAATATTCAGGGGATTTTGAAGAGTTTATAAATATATAAAAGAGCATGCCAACTGAGAGATAACCTATTCTTTCAAACTCAATCTGCTTTAAAACTTTCTTTGCAACTACAAATTTATTAATTCAATATCTACTGGTGAACTTATATCTTAATGTGTAATATTCAAAAATATTTCTAAAAATATCCCCATAAAGAGTAAGTATAAATTGAAAAAAAATGTAATCAATTCCATTGAAAAGGTGAGGTTTTTTGTTTGTTCATGAATGTTATTGTTCTTGACTGTATTTTAAATGCATGTACATGGGATAGTAATTTTTACCCTTCTAAAAACCAATGCTATATTGTATTTTTTAAGTATCTATTGTGGGTTTTGCATATAGTTGAGCAAGTTTTATTCTGTGATATTAACTTGAATACACAGACACAGCAGGTGAACAGTTTTGAGGTGTTGTTGTTGTTGTTGTTGTTTTACCACGCTGGGGATCAAACCTAGGATTTTATGCATATTAGGCAAATGTTCTACCAAATGAACTACATCTTCAGTTCTGTGATAATCATTCCTCAGATTGTTTTATTTTTTGGCTTTTTTGAGATAAGGCCTTGCTATTTATTTAGTTTAGGCCAGCACTGAACTATCTAATCCAACCTGGCCTTCAGCTCATGAACCTCCTGCCTCAGCTTCCCAAGTGCTGAGATTACAGGCATGTGCCATAACGCTAGGCCATTTCTTAGAGTTTTCGCAGTTTCTTCAACTCATCTCTTCAGCTTAATTTACTATAAAGCAGCTTAGGTGCAGAGCAAAAGCATTCCTCCTGACTTTAATGAAAGCTTATAAAAAAGAAAAATATCTACTGATCAGCAAGGTCATTGAACCAGTTAAGGTCATGGCAACTTTTCTAGCAATCTTTAATATTCTTTCTTTTGGTAGAAGTGGGAGACGAAGTGTACGACGATGTGGATGCCTCGGATTTCCCTGCTCCGCCAGCAGAGATGAGGTAATTGGCATGCTTTCATTGTAATGAACAGAAAATGAGATTGTTTCAACGGAATGAAAACCTGAAGGCGTGGAAGTCTACTGTTCACAATTATGTTGGCTCCGTCCTCTTTTCTAAAGCTGTGCTGTTTTCAGACCCCAGCTCTGACTTCAATACTAGGTTTGTGGGAAGCCCTGATCCCCCGCCTTCTCTCTCCAGGCCCCCCTCAAATCATTTGACCCCTGCTTCTGCGGTTCTGTCCCTTGTCTCCTGACTGCCGTCTGTTTTGTGACTCACTGATGTCTGCGATCATTTATTTGCTCATTCGCTGGGAAAACATATTTGAGATCCTGGTCATAAATGATCTCGATGATTCATCTCCTGCCTTTATTTTTACTCTTCTCCCAAACCTTTTTTTGTCTTGAATATACCTCTTTATCTCACATCTCAGTCCTCACCCTTCTTGTTCATGGCCCCTTTGTCCTCCACCAAATTATTTCCTTTATGGCAAAATAAGAAAAGGATTTGTCGTTTAAAAGGACTTTAAGGAACAGTATGTCTCTTTTTCAGAAAAGCATCAGTCTCAAGCATTCCATTCAAAGATATTTTTTTAAAAGCCAACGATAAAAATGAGCTTCTTTGCCTTACCTGAGGGTTTCCATTTAACTTTAAGCTAAATTGTATGAAAATCTGCTAAGATCACTTAATACAAAAGAACCACGTACTGAAAATTCTTTTGATAGAATACACAATAATGATGCTTTCTCATTTTCAAATAAATGAGCTGATTTGATACATACTGTGCCTAAAAGCAGAAACACCCATTTCAAGAAAAAAAAATGTTGAATAAAAAAGATGCAGTATTTGATTAAAGGAAGAAAGTAATATAAATGGATAAAAGTGGTGTATTCTGAGTTGTACTGGTAAGAACGCATGAGGGAACTTGAAATATTTATATTTTACCAGTATTGTTAAACTAATTTTACCAGACAAGAGACAGTATCAAGATCAAAGAACCCAAAGGAATATGTGCTGTCATCCGTAGATGAAGATCAAGTTTAATAGCCAAAACAAACAAGACAGATGAAAACAGTCATTCTTTTTCAACTCCATGAAAGGAAAATCTAACCTGCAGTAACATGCTCATCTTCCTCCCCATGGGGAAGTCATTCCTATCACTGATAGTTTTTAATGCATTTTTCTGTTTTGTATTACTGTAGAACTGCCACCACATTCCCTAAACCAGCTCTCCAGGAATGCAGAGTCACACACTGGCCCTTGGCTTAGAGCAAAACAAGTTCCAGCTGATTAAACCTTATCTAATATGGTCTGTTTTTTTGGTTTTGGTTTTGGTTTTTTACCCACTGCTAATTTTCAGAGTTTAAAACAATTTTATGTCTTTTAACATAGAATTCAATTTTTAAATAAATGATTTTTAATTCTAGCTTGTGGAGCATTCTTCACGCATATTCTGGCATCCCCTGAGAGCTAGTTGGGTGCAGCAGTTCCTCCAGTGTTCAGACTATGGCAAGGCAGGAGGTACTGAAGGTAGAAGGCAGGATTCTGTACTAGTTCTTTCCATGGTGAAGGCACTAAAGGCAAAGAATCAAAAAATTAGAATCAAACATTTTAAATAAATAATTTACAAATAAAACATCTTAGATCATCTAAATAAAAATGTAATATCAATGTTTAAAATGTTTACTATTCAAGAAATACTCTAGTTTTTTTTTTTAACTTCATTGAGTTTATTGGTACATTTTAGGTATACAGTACAGTTACATTCATTATTGGGATCTTGTACCTTTACATGACAGGTCCTGGTTCTCATTTTTCCCCTTGTCCCTGCCCTCCCTTCTCCCTCTCCCCTCCCCCTTTACAAACACTTCATTTCCATTTTTTCACTTTCTCATATTTTTTTCTTTTCCCTTATTACCTTTCCCCTACCCTTCCCACTTTCCCTACACCTTTAGCCCCTCTCTTCCTATTTCACATGGTCCATTATCTCATTAGGATCTTATGTACTATTATAGTTTATTCACACCAGAGAAACTATTCGGTATTTATACATGTGACTTATTTATTTCACAGCCCTTTCCTAGCATCTATATTTAACACTAGCAAATGGGTCTCACCCTGGGCTACAAATTCGCATTGCCGGAAGAGGTTTAAAATATGTATGTCAGTACCTGGACCCCACTCCAACTAATTTACTTAGCTTTTAAAATTAATTTAAACTAATATAAATTAAATCACAATTTCTAGGAACTGGGCAAAGGCATAGTTATGTTTTACAACTTCCCAGGTGATTGTGTGCATGACTAGGCTGGAGAATCACTGTCTTAGGTTTATCTACCTCTTTTCATAACTGGCTTTAGTACTGGGCATATAAAAGAGACATGGCAGACTTCTATACTTGGGTCCTAGGATGTTTTTGAACACATGAAATCCATTAATTGGTCAAAGCAATTAAAAATGTCTTTCTCTCATACATCCACGTGGATTCAGAAGGACAATTTAATAAAGTGGTTAAGATAAAGATTGAATATTCATCATCTTTGTTAAGAAGCTCCTTCATGTAATTTCTAAATCTTAATTTTACCTAAAACTTTTTTATTAATCAACATTTTCTGCCTCCTCCTCTGCCTCCATTGGTTTATTTACCTATTGGTGCTGGGAATCAAGCCCAGGGCCTCATGCATACCAGGCAAGAGCTCTGCCACTGAGCTGCACCTCTAACCCCTCTGGCTCCATTTTAGGTCAATATTAAAATATTAGCAAATAGATCAATTTTATGTCATAAAAATTGATTTTTTTTTTTTTGTACTGGGTATTGAACTTGGGTCCTTGCACTTGCAAGGCAGGCCCTGGAACCACTGAACTAAATCCCTAGCCCATAAAAATTGATTTTTAACAAACATTCTTTTTGAGCCTTTTCTATGACATTAACCATGTCACTTACCTAGGAAACATTTAAAATATGAGTTTCAAGTATAAATTGAATCGCATGAAAGAAACCACTGGTAAGCAAACATATTTCAACTATTACTCAGTGATTTTATATTGTTCCAATTAAGAATCGTTCAACTCCATTTCAACTAGTAATCTCCATTCACTTGAAGAATCTCTTCTGTGTTTTAAGACATCATTAGTTATTACAATAAATGTTATGGGTTTCTACGAAAAAATTAAAAGCAAAATTGAACAAGAATGTAATACTATGAATTGATTCTGCTGTAGTCTACTTTTTAATATTTTTTTTAACAAAGTACTGTTTTATGTGTGTTCTGCCATCCTAGCTACGGAATCAGTGCTGGAAAAGCCAAGACGGAAGAAAAAGATCCTAAGAAACTAAAAAAGCAAGGAAAAGAAGAAAAAGACCTCAGAAAAAAATTTAAAGTAAGTCATATTTACTGTCATACACAGTTCAAAACCCTAACAAAAGAAATCTGACTTTTAAATAACAAAACATGTATACACTTTAAAAGTGTAATTGCATCATAACTCCTTTATTTTTTCAAAATTTAATTTTTATTTATATTATTCCTATAACAAATTAAGCAAGCTATCATAACACACAATCTATACAGTATCACAATCTAAATTTAGATGTTCTTTTGGGGAGGGAGGGTACCAGGGATCAAACTCGGTCCTTGCACTTTCAAGGCAAGGGGGCGGTACCACTGAGCTAAATCCCAGCCCATGATAAGAAAGTAATTTAAAAATATTTGTTATATGAAGCTGGTGGGGTAATAAGTGACTCCTTACCCCCTCCAAATTGTCTTTAATATTCTTATATTTTGCCGGGTGTGGTGGCACATGCCTGTAATCCCAGCACTCGGGAGGCTGAGGCAGGAGTATCGCTGTGAGTTCGAGACCAGCCTGGGCTACAAAGTGAGTTCCAGGTTAGTCTCAACTACATAGTGAGGCCCTGTCTCAAAAAACAAAAATATCCTTATATTTTGAAAATACTGAACTATTTATTTAGTAAAGATCATCTTAATTAATTTGTTAGGGAATGAGTTATATAGTAATATACGTAAACTGATAACATGTATTTATTTTTCCAGTACGATGGTGAAATTAGAGTTCTGTATTCAACCAAAGTTTCATCTTCCTTAACTTCTAAAAAGTGGGGGGCTAGAGATCTACAGATAAGGCCTGGTGAATCTCTTGAAGTTATACAAAGCACAGATGACACAAAAGTTCTCTGCAGGAATGAAGAAGGAAAATGTAAGTCACTGATTATGCTCTACACAAATGGCACTCCAGAATTTAAACAGCCAAACAAGTTTTAGTGACCACCCTGTTTGTACTAACTTGTTTTGGTTAATCCTTTGTGAATTGCAAAAAATATAAAGAAACTAGAGATGGTGCTTATAGATAAAACTCTAGGTATCAGATTGAATATGTGGGTATAATTTCTTCCCTGGCATGTTCATGGATACACTAAAATGTGAACCACTGTGTAAAGGTAATGAGTGACTCTTGCTCTAGCGTGGTTGTGAAGTTATATAACATTTCAAATCTAGAATTTATAGTTTTCCTACCTTAAAAATTCACTTTTTTCATTTCATCTTTGGATGCACTTAATGCAATGTACTGTTCCAAATAGGTACAAGACAGTCCTTATCCTCTTTGACTTTATCAGCTACTAAGCTGACAGATGGAAATATTTTTGTCAAATTTTAAAAGAAACTTTTTTAAAATTAAGGGAAGGGTAACTCAAAACGAGGTTGTCCTGTGTTTGAAATTGGAGAGCCAGCATGGCTGCTCCAGATTGGCTTGGTTAATCTGTGTGGAAAACGTGGTCTCTGCATTTAATTTTAATGGGAGGAAAGTGACTCAGGGACGGGAACTGAAATGGAGTTTCAAGAAACAAATGCAATGACTCACAGGGGAGAAACTAAAATTACCATGAAAGAGTTGTGATTGGCTTTCCAGAGAGCAATGTGGAATGTTAGTACAAAAGACAAAGGGAGGGAGCAGGAACAGTGAAATATTAAGATCCGAAGCTCACTGAAGGTAATGTAGAGATAGGGCAACTGTAAACCAAAAAAAAAAAGAAAAAGAAAAAGAAAAAAAAAATTCAGCCTTGCATTTGTGGGAATCTACCCTAAGAAATAGCCTTAAAAGTAGAAAAGAAAAATAAAAAACTATGTGCACTAAAACGTCAAAGATATATTAAAAGTTCAAAACTTTAAAATAATTACATACCAGGTTGAATATACCCAAATGAATATTTTAAATGATTGTGATGATAATAATGTGATACATATCTCATTACATAGTTATGGGATACTAAGAAATTTACTTAGTGAAGAGTAAGATTTCTAACCAGGTTTAAAAAATCATGCAAATAATACCAAAATATTAATTGTGACTGGTGAGGATGATGAGTCTAAATGATATATTTCCTTTCTTCTATTTTCCAAATTATTTCACATATTCCACAACAGAATTGTCCTAGTATTTGTCATGTGGGTTCCTCTCCAGTGTACAAGCTTCAAACACATCTTTCCCATAGCATGGTAAAAGAAAACCCTACCATGATACTCCAAGAACCTCTGTCCTTAGCATAGATTTTTTTTTTCTTTTTTTGGTACTGGGGATTGAACTCAGAACCTCGTGCTTGCAAGGTAGGTGGCAGAACCACTGAGCTAAATCCCCAGTCCTAGATTCTAAAGCAATGTTCCACTAGCCTCAAAGAAAATACACATCCACAGAGGTCTTGAGAATGCAGATTCTGTTTCACAATATCCTAGAGTGAGGCCTGACCCTGCATTTACCAACATCCTAGGTAACTGAAGCTGCAGATACATGGGACAGACTCTAAAAAAAGAAATGTGAATTACTTAACAGCTGAGCAGGAATAAATATAGCATCAGTAATGGAAATATAGAAAATAAACTTATCTTTCCAGGAACCAGTGGATCCTAAGAGTGAGGGAAAGCAGTAAATTTACTATCTGATAGTACCTACTATCATTTTCTATTTGGACAGCAAGAGTTATAAGTATTATTATGAATACTGAAGGATCCTGTCCTCTTAGAAATTATCATTTTGGGGGCCAGAGATTTAGCTCAGTGGCATTGCACCTGCCTCCCAAGCACAATGTCCTGAGTTCCATCCCTGGTTCTGCAGGAAAAAAAAAGACAGACAGAAAGAAAGAAAGAAAAAAGAAGGAAAAGAAAGAAAGAAAGAAACTATCATTTTTCTAAAATGACAGTAGAAATATTTCATAAACTTCTGGTAGATTACAATCAGAAAATTCATATAACTTTTTTTCTCTCCAGGTATAGTACCAGTGTATTTTATGATTTCTAAGTTCACTTATAACTACTTCAGTTCTAGGTGATTTGAGGATCTATTTAAGTAGACTAGTATAATGCTTCTACTACCTGTTTTGTGTTTTTTTTTCACTCATTAAGTTTATTGGTACATTTTAGATATATAATATGATGACATTCATCATTGGGAATCTGTACTTTTTTACATGATACATCATGTATCATATTTTTCCCCAATCGCCTACCCTCCCTTCAACCTCTCCACCCACCCTTTTTACAAAGTCTTTATTTCCAATTTCTCATATTTATTTATTCCTCTCCCTTCTTTTCTTTCCCCTGCCCCTATGACTTCCCCTTCCCCTTTGCACCTTTTCCTCCTATTTCACACTATCTATTATACATTTTGATCCTTATTTCACTTTCAGTTTCTCACATCAGAGAAACTATTCAGTATTTACATATGTATGTCCTATTTATTTCACTGAAGAGTATGGCCTCAGTGTGGATCAATTTGGCTATAAATGTCTTCAGTCTCATTCTTTATGGCAGAGTAATACTCCATTTTATTTTTTTTAAACAAGACAAAACCCATGTCTTCTTTTTTCAGTCTCCAGTTGATGAGCAATTGGGCTCTTTCCAAGTTTTATCTACTACAGTCTGTGCTGTTATAAGCATGGGTGCACATATATCACAGTGGTATGACTTTTTTTTTTTTAATTCTTTTAGGAACATGCCAAGCAGGGGAATAGCTGGGCCAAACAGGACCTCTAATCCTAGCTTTTGGAGATATCTCTATACTGATTTCCACAGTGGTTGCACCAGTCTACACTCTCACCTACAGTGGAAAAGGGTTCCTTTTTCCACTCTAGAAAATAGCAGTAAGCATTTGTTATTGGTTGATTTCTTGATAGCAGCCATTCTTTCCGGAGGGAGGTGGAATCTCAGTGTTGTTTTTATTTGCATCTCTAGAATGACCAGTGATGTTGAACATTTTTTTCATAAGTTTATTTGCTATTTCTATTTCTTTGTCTGAGACATGCCTGTTCATTTCAGATGCCCATTTTTAGATTGGGTCTTTAAAGTTGGGAAATCTGATTTTTTTTAGTTCTTTATATATTCTACATAGCAGACCTTTGTCTGAGGAACAGCTGGTAAAATTTTTTTCCCTCAATGTAGGTTGTCTCTTAGCTCTGTTGCTGGTTTCTCTTGTTGTCCAAAAGCTTTTTAATAAAATGAGATCCCAGTTGTTGATGCTTTGTGCTAGTTCACATGAGACTGAGGTTTTGTTCATGAAATCTTTTTCTACACCAATATCTTTAAGAGTTCTTACCTAACTTATCTTCCAGCAAATTTAGTGTTTCTGTTTTAATATTTAGATCTTTAATCCATTTTGATTTTAGTCTAGTGCATAGTGAAAGATAGGGGTCTAGTTTTAATCTTTGGCAAGTTGAAAGCTAGTTTTTCCAACACCATTTATTAAAGAGGCGATCTTTCCTACAGTGAAGATGTTTGGCTCCTTTGTCAAAGATGAGGTAGCTGAGTATATATGGAGTTGTTTCTGCATTCTAATCTCTTCTGCTCATCCTCAGGTATGTTTCTTTTCTATTAACATGTTGTTTTTATCACAGTAGCTTTGTAGTATAGCTTCAAGTTGGGCATTGTGATGCTCCCTACCTTGTTTGAACTTTGTCTTGACTTTCTAAATTCAAAAGCCACTCTAGGAAATAGCAGTAAGCAAAAATAAGACAAAGAAGGGAAAGCAGTCACTAAAGCCTTTTTATCAAAAAAGTTACCACTTGTATAATTGGAGCCTAATTGTACCAGGAAACTCAGCATCATGTTATCCCATCTTGTAGGGGAAAACTGAGTTACTTACCCACCACCTATTTAAATGGGTTAAACTCTATTTCAGGGCAATCGGGAAGTTATTTGGGATGCTGGGCAAGCTAACTAAGAGAGTTGTGAAAGGTCGAGAAAAGACATCCATTTAAAACACCCAAACAAAAGGGCCAGGTATTTAGCTCAGTGGCACTGTGCCTGCCTCACAAGTGCAAGGTCCTGAGTTCAATCCCAGAACTAAAACTTTTAAATGCAGGTGCTGTCAGTTAAAATTTGGACCAATAGATACTCAAGTGGTGAGGGTGAGGTACTATGTGTGTCTGCTATTGCCTTGCAGACTAAGCATCATTCCAAAGTTTACTTACCGTATCTGTTTAATTTCACTTTAGTATTTGCAAACTTCCTGCTTCCCTTAATGTTTGCAAACCTCCTGTTTATTTCTTGCTTGGTCTGGATCCTTGATTGTACTCATCCTACAATCTGGGGATGAACCTGGGCCTTCATATTGAGCTATATTCCTAGCCCTTTTTTCCTTTTTCTTTTTATTTTAATGCAAGGTCTCACTAAGTCATTAAATTACCTAGGCATGGGCTCAAATTTATGACCCTACTTCCTTAACTTTCCAAAGTACTGGGATTACACGTGCATGCCACTGTGCCCAGAACCTTGATTATTTTTTATTTCCTTACTTTCTAATCCACTCTTCACACATTTCTTGAGGATTTGGGATGACTGTTTTATAGATTTAACTCACCTAGAAAACTGCAGTAGCCTTTTCATAGTATGTCTATCTTTATCTTTACTCTTGAGACCAATCCACTCACCACATTGTTAACTAAATACTATTTTTAAAAACGCAAGTCATTAGGCTAACATATAAAATCCCTTCTGATCTAGACTCAACTCTCCTTGAGTGACTTTCCTATCTGCAACTGGTAATCCAGAAATACAAACTGCATTCTTCTCATTCCCTGAATAAATTGTGCTGATTCATCTGATTGTGCTGTTTTATTTGACTAGGAATGCCCACAATTATCTATTAAAAACAACTAAATTATCATCTAAAATTAGAAATTCTTTCTCCCAGACACTCCATGACCATCTATCTCTTCCCTGTTCTTCCCATGATATTACTTTTGCTGCTGTAATTGTTGTAGTTTTACCCGATTATTACGCCTACTAGAGTCTGAGTTTAAGAGTAGCTTCAATGTAATATTTTCAATATTGGGTTGCCACACAGTGTTTAGTGTCTTGCATCTTGATTGGGACTTAGTTCAAATGTAACAATTTGGAAATGCTATATGGATAACCAGATATAATTCTGAACATTTAGACACTCAATATAAGTCTATTAAATAGTTCAGTTGGTTAGCAGACAGAGGTTCTGTCTTAGCCTTAGTAGTATGGTTAGTTTATGTAACATCGAAGAGCTTCTAAATTGTTCAGTTCCTTCATTTGCACATCTTTTGATTAGTAACAAAAGCATCTGCATTCTAGCACCATGGTGACTAGGGGTGTTTTGTTTTGTTTTGATTTTTGGTTTTTGGTTTTTTTGCCCTCCATTTTTCTTAAATCCACCAAAGAAAGAAAAGCAACCTAAAGTTGGTAATGGTACAAACTAGAGGATAAAGCCTGAATAGTAATCCCTTTACCACTGTACAATGGAGTACAACTCACTTTTATAGACATTGTTGCATTGGAACAAATCTCACTCACTGACTTGTACAAGCAAGAAGGGTATAGGTGTTAGAATGTTAATAGATTTCTGGCACATTTCCAAATTTTTAAAATTTCTAGCTAATATCAGCATATATTCCCCTACCCGATGTCTCATACCCTGTGAGTTTTCCCACCTACTGTTATCAGAGAAAACGTGTATACAGAAAGGTCTGGAATGAAACAGGAGCTGAGTAATTTGTGGCCAAAATGTTCCCTATTTCCTTTGGACATCAAAGAGGGACTTTCAAGGTGCCTTAGATCTCCATAAATCTATTTGATCATTTCTTAAGTAAATATTTTCTCAATTTTAAAATAACACACATTCACTGAAGAAAGAAAATTTTTACCTCAGAAATTTAAAAAAATTATTGTGATATCAAGCTCCAGAACCTAAAGAGAGAGAAGAAAGGGAAAATATTTTTTATAAAACTAAGCTAATAATTTATATTCAATGTTATTTAACCACATACTTTTTTCCAGTTATATTATTACCATTTCCTTTGAAGTTGGATATTGTCTCATTTGCTTAGGTGATCTGTACAATATGATTTTATTGTTTATAAACTGCCTTGAAGACAAAAGATATAGGAAGGAATATAGTCAGGGTTTCAGAACTAAGAGGATAAGTTCTTTAGAATTAATTCGTAAAGTTGAAGTAATAAAACTATATATCATGAATTACAAACTTTGGTCATGTAAAGGACTGTTTTAATATTTTAATATACAATGTTTTAGTCAGACCTGCAAAATTTTAGCAAAGTTTAGTTGTGAAAAGAAAATAATCTAAAAGCACATGAAAATAAAATGTTCTTTTTTATTTTATGAAAAAAATAAGATAAGCCAGAGTTTTGGCTTAGTGTTTCCATCGCCTGCCTCACAAGCACATTTGATCCCCAGCTCCAAAAAAAAAAAAAAAAAAGATAAATTTCATAACAAATAGTAAGAGAATAACAATAGTTATTATATTGTGTATCTTTATCTTCAAAGTAGTCAAAAAATCTAAAAAGATTCTTTCAAAAAGAAACAAATAACACAAACTTTCTTTTCAATGAAGTTAAATTATTAGTATAAATAAAACAAATTATGACTTGTATCTAGATGTCCCCCAAAGCCTGATACTATCACAGGTGAGGCTTTTTGGAGGTGGCTGAATCTAGGATGTGTGAATGTAGATTATGGGTGTGATATTAGTATTAGAGTGTATGCTACTGTATTAGTCTACTGGCTTATCATAGTTCTTGGTGTGGGTAATAGGAAGCCACACCCTGGGTGTGGATGTCACCAACACAAAGGCTTGTAGCCTGAATGGGATAAATTCAAGGAGGCTTGCTGCTGCTGCTGCTTGCCACTTTATTGCCTCCTACCTACCCTGCAATGGATTGTTTTTCTTCTGTGTTACCCCTGTGGAATGCTGCCTTGCCTTGGAACCAGCCAACTATGGACTGAAACATGTACAAGCTGAGCTGAAATAAATGCTTTCTCCTTTAACTTTGGGTGTTGGATATTTTGCCTCAGCAACAAAAGAAGTAACTAAGACACTACTGAAATATTTTTAAAATAACATAATATGTAATTTGAGGAGGTGTTTAAACTTCTCCCTACTTCCTATTTATCTTCTATTTTGCTCTTTATTTGTGTGTGTGTGTGTATATATATATATATATATATATTTATTTATTTATATATAATATATATTTATGTATATATAGCATTTACTATGTAGTAAATATTCACATATAATATATATTATTTATTTCTATATATTATATACACAAATACGTATATAATATTTATGTATATATAGTATATCTCATGAGATATATATATATATAATTCAGTGTGTGTATATATATATATATATATATAATTCAGTGTATAGTTATATGTGTTTCTCATATAAGACAAACTATGTGGTATTTGAGCTTGTGTGTCTGACTTATTTCACTTAATACTGTGTTCTCAAGTAGCATCCATTTATCTCTGAATGCCTCAAGTTTTTCTTCCTTGCAGCATAGTATTCCATTGTATATAAATAGCATATTTGCCTTATTCATTCATCAGTTGATGGATATATATACACTGTTTCAAAATCTAGCAATTATAAATCATGATGCTATAAACATGGTTATGCATGTATCTCTATAATATGATGACTTTAACATTTTGGGGAAGATACCTAGGAGGCAGATAGATATCTGATCAGATAGATTTTCTGTTTTTAGTTTTTTAAGAAGTCTCCACAATGGTTTTCACAGTGGTTCTGCTATGGTTTTACATCCCACCAACAATATAATAGAGTTTCCTTTTTCATATATCCTTTCCAGCATTTGTTATTACTAGATATTTTTTTATGATAGCCATTATTTCTCAGGTAAAATGGAATCTCAGTGTAATTTTAATTTGAGTTTCTCTAATGGCTAGCAATGATGAGCATTTTTTCATGTATTTATTGGCCATGGTTTTCCCTAGAATACTTTTTTAATATTAAAGGCATTCTTCTTAGTATTAAGTTTATTTTCTTAAATTTGAATCTATAATTTTAATTATATGATCCTTACTTTAAAAAAATCTTTTATACTAAGTCAACAAAATATATCAATATATATTAATGCATTTATCATTGTATAATCTTTCTCTTTATAATCTTATAACACATTTACTCTGACAGAGAACCAAGATTAGATCTAAAGTAGACCAAGAGCAATAGATTAACTCAGGGAAGTTTTTTTAAAGCTTTATTGAAGAAGTAATGAGTATCACTAATCTCAAAGCTACAACAGATTTTAGGCACTAACATAAAACTAATAATTCCAGAGTTAAGTAATTATTAATTAAATGTCAGCAGACACTTTCCCAAGAAAAATAGTCCATACTTTTTCTTAGAAAAAATTTGTATAGTGGGCAAAGAAAGAACAAAATCTTAACTTTCTTTGCACAAAATACAGTTTATTTTCTACATAATCAAGGCATCATCAAATCTCTAGTACATATTTTTCTAATAATACTTTTGTCCCATGAATGGTAAAATGCAATCGTTCTACTTTCGAATGACATAGTAGAGTCATCTCTGCCATACTGAGTAGACAGGAAGGATTTGGGGCCATTTTGCAGGTGTTCTTCCCCCAAGAAACCATTGTTAGCTCAATGGCATCCGAAAGGGAAGTTAAACACAGTTCTGGCTCTGTTGAATGTAATTTGAAAAAGTAAGTTTCAGATCTAGTGATATTTAAAATACATATAAATGGATTTTATAATAAAAAACTGGAACATGTAGAGAAGAACTTGAAGAAATAGATAAAAATTTGAGGGAGTCAGTGCTCTGACTTGTGGAAGCATACAAGAAGGAAAATGACTTTTTTAGAAGAGGAAATGAGGAAATACTGCAAATTGAGGAAAAAGTGGTGTGCTAGAGAGAGAAAAATGTCTAGAGAAAAGGATAAGAAAGGAAAGAAAGTGGGCACAAATAAGAAAAATGGATCATATTTGGAAATAGAACAGTAATCAGTATATTAGGATAATTTTTTATATGTTAGTTTCTTTTTTTTGCTGTGATCTATTGTGGGAATTTTTCTTTTTTTTCTTTTTATTGAATTTATTGGTACATTTTAAGAATACAGTACAGTTGCATTCATTATTGGGGTCTTGTACCTTTACATGACAGGTCTTGGTTCTCATTTTTTCCCCTTGTCCCTGCCCTCCCTTCACCCCTTCCTCCCCTTCCCATTTATAAACACCTTATTTCTATTTTTTCATTTTCTCATTTTTTTCTTTTCCCTTATTCCCTTTCCCCTACTCTTCCCACTGTCCCTACACCTTTAGCCCCTTTCTTCCTATTTCACATTGTTAATTATTCCTAAGTGAAATAAATAAGTCACACATGTGTAAATACTGAATCATTTCTCTGTGTGAAAAATTATAATAGTACATAAGATCCTAATGAGATAACTAACTATATGTTAGTTTCTTAAAATACCAAAGCCATATCAATAAAAAGTCTATTTTCTTTTTCTTTCATAGATGGTTATGTCCTTCGGAGTCATTTGGTGGACAAGTAAGCCCATTTTCTTCTACAACTATAATTGTAAAAACAGTCTTGTGCTTCCTCCCCACCCCCCACCCTGTGCCCCAGTACCAAGGATTGAACTCAGGGCCTTGTGCTTACCAGGCTGGTGCAGCACCACTGAGCTACATCCCCAGCCCTGTGGGATATAAAGATATCTTTAAGAATGATATCTAGTATCATTTAAATAATGTAACCAACTGGACTATCAAAAGTAGCCTGAAAACAGTATTTTGTACTAATATCAAGTCAGTAGTATCTGTAATAAAGTTAAGGTTTTCATAAAGTGCTGCTCAAGTAGGTAAGGAGCCCTTCTTTTCATACACTTCATAATTTTATACACTCATTGGGCTCTCCACTGAAGACAGGCAGGCCAAAGCCACTAACCTTTTCAAGCTCTGTATTTCACTTGCTGATCAATATAGCTGTTGAATTGAGTGACTTAGAGGCTAAGTAGTGTCTACACAGTAGGTACCAATATCACCTCTCAACAGTTTAATGTGTAGTCCCTTAATGAGAATTTTTCTACATTCATAGCAGGCACAGTAGAGCTTTCTGTTGCCTTTGTTGGAAGCATGCCAGAAAAAAAAGATAGTAGTCAATGATTCTTCTATTCTTATGAATAAGATGTTGTCACAGTCTGTCACAGTCTCGTACGGGTGTGCCATTAGAGTCATCCAAAATACTTTAAGATTCTATTTTAGGAAACCCAGTACAAGAAATGAAATCCATTATCAGTTTGGGCCTTATACCAGTGCAAAATATTTATGGAATTGAGCATAATGAGAAAATCAAGGAGGATTCAGAAACTATAATTTCATAAACAACCTGATACCAAGAAGCAGGAAGAGATAAATCAGCATTCAGAGCTCTGGCAGCAAAGAATTAAAAGAAAAATCAGTGTAGTATCTTTCTTTTTTCACTCAGTATTAATCACAGTGATAGGCAGGGAACATATTTTGCCTTTGCACCTTTTAATTATATTATTAATACATGTTAATTATACAAATTAATGAATTTCACTGTAACTTTTCCATAGTTATGTATATTCTGCTTTGATAATGTCCTCTACCCTCTTTTGCCCTCACCTCTCTCCCAGGTATTTTTTCCCCTTTCCTAATAAGGCAGTAGAATTTTCAATAGGACTTGTTCTATGAAAAATACAAATTTTATAGAAAGAATGATTATCATATGATGACTAAGAGAGAGTATGGAGATCTACTGTGTTAATTATTGGTTTACCACCTATTTAAGTGAATACACTATATTTAATAGACATTAATCGAATGACTGACAGGCAGAGAAAACCTGTCTTCCACATTTGCATAAGATTTCAATTAACCAAACCCCTGCCTCAGTATCAGAGAAAGAATCCAAACAGAAGCCATAGGGAACTCTCAAGATCTGCCACAGTTGGTAGCCATCTGGAGGTCCTGCTGCTGCTCCTATGATAAAACATTGAGATAAGAAAAGATTCCAGAGTGGGTCTGGTCTAAGTGACATAGCCACCTCACATTTATGCACTTTGGAACTGTATCTTACATTTCATGAGAATGTTCACATTTAAAATACCTTCTGTTTTATTATTTATAGACTATTTTGCTTCTCATTAGATCATAAGCTTCTTAAAATCCATGCTTGTATCTCACTTTTAGTTATGCCTCCTCATACACAAGAGGAACCCATCTTGTTTGCTGTGTAAAATATTTCACAAAGATTCAGAACCAGGCAAAACCTGAATTGTATAAAAGTAGCCAAAACTGCTATTGTGGATGCTACTCTTAATCATAAATAATATTTTAGAATTATGTAACATAAGAACCTTCATAATAACTATATCTTATAGCTAATATTTACATATTATAAAATTGATATTTACTACTTATAATTAGAAATGTGAAAATAGTGAGGCTGTTTCCTATATCAAATATTATTGTGTTCCATTCAACATTTGAATTTTAAATGAAAGTATCAATCTAACATTAATAGATATAAAAGCTTGCTACAGTTTGGGATTAAGGTCCCCAGGGGAGACCTGGCCATGACTATTCAGTTTATTTCATGGCTCATTTCTGAGCCCAGTTGCATGCTGTGCCCATGGTGAAGTCAGAAGATGAGTAGAGGAGGACCTAGTCTGACTCAGTAATTCTGTTTGTTGATGAAACAGGATTAAATAAAGACAGTGAAAGAAGAGAAGCAGATGAATACGAAATTTCTTTCCACTTGTAAATGTGTAAAATGTAACTTCTCACTATGAAAGACCTGTGTTATATAAAACTAATATACTATTGCCCTTGTCTTCTATCTGTTGCTTTAATGTTGGAAACTTTTTCCTACAAAATGAAAATTATTTTCTGCCTTTACAGTGATGGAGAGATCTACGATGATATTGCTGATGGTAAGTATCATATATCACCATCACAGAGAACAGTAACACTGAATTTATTGTTTATACAAATAATGAAAATAGCTTCTTGGGTTAACTGGAACCTTACAATTTATTCAAAATTTAAATCAAGAAAGGTAAAACTCTGATATCATGGGGGAAAATCATTTTCATACAGGGCTGGAAATTAAGGAAAAAAAACTCTTATTTTCTTTGAAAAGGAAAGGATAAAAATATTAGATGAATTTTTAATTATACTATGAATCGTAAAGATTTCTTTCAACCAAATAAATATTCATTATTGGTACTTATTTTATAACTAATAATACTGCATAAGTGCTATGTTTCTTATAGTTTGATCTAAAAATTAATCTCAGCTAAAGTAGAACATAGTGATAAGGATGTTGCTCTTTAGTCTTTTAAGTATTTAATACCTACTGATATTTAATTTTTTTTACCTTATTCATAGTGAACACTGAAAAGTACTTTTATAAGTGCCAAACAAAATAAAATAATCTTGGGTCTCATTTTTGATGGAGCATATATCTGTCCAGATATTTTGTTGGAATTGTATACTAAATAGAGTTAAATGCATGGCCTTTCATTTGTTTTTCATAAAGTGAGCCAATTTTACCTCTTCTTTTAAATCTTAAATCAGGAGATTATCCACATCTCCAAGCTTGGAACATTTAGAGGGCATGTGTTACATGTAACTGAAATTAAATTTTTATTATTTTCTTTCAGGTTGCATCTATGACAATGACTAGGACTGTGCTTGTTTACTCTGTTTTACTTCATCTCCATTGTCATTCATGAAGTCTAGCTTCTATGTAGCATATGTAACTGGATATCATAGACAATGAATGCACAGGAATTCTTATGTCCACTGGTCATGAAATTCTGATTATTTTTATAAAATTGTGAAATTTTAAATTTAGAAAATAATATTTCTACTTAATATCCTAAAGGACTGCATTGGGAGTAAAAATTATTAAATTTCTGCTTTGGCTATAACTATAAAGGCATCTTTAAGACTATAAATAGATAATTTCCTCTGCCCACCTCCCTTAACAAAAAAGAAAGGAAAAAAAAGACATTCTGAAGAAATGACTATTCTGTCTAAAAATATATATAAGCAAGAAGAACAAAGAATACAATGAAAGAAATTGTAAAGCATTCTGCAAGAAGGACAACCATTGTTCATTTACTTATGATGGTATCCTACATTGTATACTCAAATCATCTCTCATTTTAAAAGACAGAGCTGCTTCCTCTTTTGCTGGTGTTTTTTCAAACAACATTGTAAAAACAGAACTTTTGTATAGTTTGTTCCTATTTGTTAATTGTGAATATGCCTTGATTATTTGATAAGAGCATTACACATGCAAGTATGCACATCAAAGATTAAACTGTAGAAGAAACAAATGTGAGTTTTATTTTTTCAGATATGTGTGCTAACCATTTAAGTTTGTATTTTTTAAAAGTCCTTTTGCAACTAGAGTGAGTATGAATGACAGCTGTCCTGCAGATATGAAGAATGGAAGAATGGATGTTGAACTCACTAGTCTTTGATGGCACCTATTTATTATGAAAACCCTTAAAAGTCCAAGGTTTTGCTTTTGTTTTTGTTGTTTTCAATCACCAATCCAGAAATTTATTAAAAATGCTTTAAACTAACTCTTTACTAGAACGTTGGCCAGAAAAAAGGAGCATAAATTAATAAATCCTAGGGTTTAGACTGAAGTGTCCCCTACTGATATATATTCATACCGAAATAAACCCCACAAAAATATGAAATATTTGCATTTGAATGCTTAGAACACTAAACCAATGACACAAAGTTCAAAAGCCTAACACTCAAAAAAATTAACATACCTTTGTCACACCTTGTAAAAGACAATACTTGCAAAACCTAAGGCTTGACTGTTTATTGAACCATGATATGCTATAAAATACACAATTTATAGTCACAGCTGAAATTACAAGACATTGTTCTCAACTTTATTTGCTTTCTAAATTTTTTATTGGGACATTTTAGACACATAATGATTACATACATTGTAGGGAAGATTTACCCTTGCTTTTTTCCAGGTTCCTATCGCAGGGAGTATTGTCTTCCATTCTTTGACTTTCAGTCTATGAATTTGTTTTTCTTTTAGCTAAATGTGTTTCTTATATGCAGCATATTCTTAGATCTTGCATTTTTTTTTCATTGAGTTTATTGGTACGTTTCAAGTATACAACACAGTTATATTCATCATTGGGAACTTGTACCATTACATGGCAGATCTTGGTTCTCAATTTTTCCCCATACCCCTGTCCTCCCTTCACCCCCTCCACCCTCCCCTATTTACAGTATTTGTTTCCATTTTTTCCTTTTTCCTTATTTCCTTTCCCCTACCCTTCCCACTTCCCTTACACCTTCAGTACTTCCTATTTCACGTTGTCAGTTATACAATTTGGATCTTATTTACACTTTTAGTTTCTCACCCAGAGAAACTATTCAGTATTTATTTCACTTAAGAGTATGGGCTCAATATGTATCCATTTCCCCATGAATAACTCTAATTTCTCATTCTTTATGGCTGAGTAGTACTCCATTTTACATAAAAACTACATCTTCTTTATCCAGTCTCCAAATGATGGGCAATTGGTCTGTTTCCAAGTTTTAGCTATTACAAACTGTGCCACTATAAATATGGGTGCGCATATATCACTGTGATATGATTCTTTTGATTCTTTTGGAAAGACACTCAGCAGAGGGATAGCTGGGTCAAATGGAACCTCTGGTCCTATTCTTTGAGGTATCTCCATATTGATTTCCATAGTGGTTGCACCAGTCTGCCCTCCCACCAACAATGGAAAGGTTTCCTTTCTCCACACAGCCCCGCCAACATTTGTTATTGGTTGATTTCTTGATTGCAGCCATTGTTTCCAGGGTAAGGTAGAATCACAGGGTTGTTGTCATCTGTGTCTCTCAAATGACCAGTGATGTAGAACATTTTTTCATATATTTATTTGCTGCTTTTACTTTGTCTGAGAAATGTCTGTTTACTTCAGAGGCCCATTTTTGAATTGGCTCTTTATATTTGGGGGGCTTGATTTTTTTTTTTTTTTTTTAGTTATTGATGTATTCTAGATAATAGTCCTTTGTCTGAGGCGTAGCTGGTAAAATTTTTTTCCCACATTGTGGTTGTCTCTTACATCTGTTGATGGTTTGTTTGTTTGCTGCATTGCAGAAGCTTTTTAGTATGAGGAGATCCTAGTTGTTGATTCTTTGTGCTAGTTCCCATGCTACTGAGGATTATTCATAAAGACTTTTCCTATGTCAACGTCTTTGAGAGTTCTGCCTAACTTACCTTCCAGCAACTTTAGTGTTTCTGTTTTAATATTTAAATCTTTAATCCGCTTGGATTTTACTTTAGTGCATGGTGAAAGATAAGGGTCTAGTTTTAATCTTTGGCAGGTTGAAATCCAGTTTTCCCAATACCATGTATTAAAGAGGCTATTTTTCCTCCACTGAGGGTTGGCTCCTTTGTCAAAAATGGGGTAGCTGAGTACATCTGGAGTTGTTTCTGTATCTTCTAATCTATTCTACTGATTCTCAGGTATTTTTCTTTGCCAGTACCGTGCTGTTTTTATCACAGTGGCTGTATAGTATAGTTTCAAGTTGGGCATTGTGATACCCGCTGCTGTGTCTCTGCTGCCTAGACTTGCCTTTGCTATTCAATGTCTCTTCTGGTTCCAAATGAATTTGGATTATTTTCTCTAGTTCTTTGAAATATGCTGCTGGAATTTCAATTGGGATTGCATTAAATCTGTATAGCAGTTTTGGTACTATGGCCATTTTCACTATGTTGATTTTTTCCTACCCAGGAGCAGGGGATATCTTTCCATTTTCTTATATCCTCTTCCATCTCTTTTTTTCAGAGTGCTATAGTTCAGCATAGCATAGAGGTCTTTTGCTTCTTTCATTAGATTGATTCCTAGATGCTTCATTTTTTTATTTTTGGATGCTATTGTGAAAGTAATTGTTTCCCTAATTTCTCTCTCAGTGAATCTGTTATTTGTGTACAAGAAGGAGATTGATTTTTGAGTGTGAACCTCGTATCCAGCTACTCTGCTGACAGTGTTAGTTAAATCTAGAAGCCTTTTGTCAAGTTCTTTGTGTCTTCTATGTAGAGTATCATGTCATGAGCAGATAATGACACTTTAACTGCTTCCTTTCCTATCTTTATTGCTTTCATTTCTTTCTCTTGTTTAATTGCTGTGGCTAATGTTTCCAGAACTATATTGAACAGGAGTGATAGTGATAGTGATAGTGGGCATCCTTGTCTTGTTCCTGATTTTAAAATGAAGGTTTTCAGTTTTTGGCCATTTAATATGATGTTGGCTGTTGGTTTTTCATAGATAGCCTTTACCAAGTTGAGATAAAGATCATCTATTCCAATTTCTGCACGGTTTTTATCATGAATGGGTGTTGAATTTTGTTGAATGTTTTTTCTGCATCTATTGAGATGATCATATGGTTTTTGTCCCTGACTCTGTTAATAATAATGCATTATATTTATTGATTTACATATGTTGAACCATCCTTACATCCCTGGGAAAAATCTGACTTGGTCAAGGTGTATGATCTTCTTGATGACCTTCTGTATTCTGTTTGCCAGTAACTTATTGAGGATTTTTGCATCTTTGCTCATTAAGAGATTGGCCTGTAGTTCTCTTTTTTGTTTGGGCCTTTCCCTGGTTTTGGAAGCAAAGTAACAGTTAGTTCCAGGAATGAATTTGGAAGTACTGCTTCCCTTTCAATTACACTGAGAAGTTTAAAGAGTAGTGGCAGTAGTTCTTTTTTAAATGTGTTATAGAATCAGCAGTGAATCCATCAAGACTTGAGCTTTGCTTCATTGCTAAATGTTTAAATGAATTTTCAAAAGGAAAAAATGAAAAGAAATTATTTGTAAATAGGGGAGGGTGGAGGGGGTAAAGGGAGGGCAGGGTATGGGGAAAAATGAGAATCAAGATCTGTCATGTAAGGGTACAAGATCTCAATGATGAATGTAACTATACTTTATACTTAAAAAGTATCAATAAACTAAATAAGATTAAATAAATAAATACATTTTCAATTTACTGATTATAATTGGGGGGTTAGAATTTTTTTAATCTTCTTTGTTCAACTTTGGTAATTCTTAAGTATCAAGAAATATGTCCATTTCTTCTGTGTTTTCCATTTTATTAGAATACATATTCTTGAAGTATGTATTGATGATCCTCTGGATTTCTGCTCGATCTGTTGTGACTTCACCTTTTTCATTCCTAATTGCAAGGATCTGAACCTTTTCTTTCCTTTTTTGACAAGATTAGCTATTGATTTTGTTTGTTTTTTTAAAAACCAAATCTTTGATTCATTGATTTTTTTGTATCACTTTCTTAGTTTCCATTGCATTGGTTTCTGCTCTGATCTTTATAATTTCCTCCCTTGGATGAGCTTTGGGTTTTTCTTGCTTTTCTTTTTCTAGGAGCATAACATTCATCATTAGGTTATTTACTTGAGCTTGCTCTGTTTTCCTAGTGTGGGCATTCACTGCTATGAATTTTCCACGTAAAACTGCTTTCATTGTGTCCCATAGAATCCTGTATGTTTTATTGGCATTATCATTTATTTGTAAAAACTGACTAATTTCTTCTTTAATTTCCGCTGTGACCCATTGATTGTTAAGGGGAGTGTTGTTCAATTTCCATGGGTTTGTGAAGTTCTTACAGTTTCTTATGTTGCTGATCTCTAGCCTAAATGCACTATGGTCTAATAATATACATGGGATAATTTTGATTCCTTTCCATATATTTAAACATATTCTATGAGCTAGTATGTGATCTATTTTGGAGAATGACCCATGTGCAGTTAAAAAGAATGTATATTCTGATTTTGTGGTGTGGAACACTCTGTAGATGTCTATTAAATCCATTTGTTCAAAAGCTTGGTTCAGTTCAAGTATTTCATTGTTAATTTTTTGTCTAGATGATCTATCTATTTGTAATAGTGGGGTAATTTAGGTCCCCCACTACAATTGTATTTGTGCTTGTTTGGCTTTTCATGTACCTTAATATTTGTATTATGTAGTTGGGGACATTAGTATTTGGTGCATATGTATTAATGATTGTCATCTCTTCCTCTTGGATTATTCCCTTTACAAAGTTATAGTGGCCTTCTTTGTATGTCTGAATCAGTTTTGGTTTGAAATATATTTTGTCTGTGGATAAAATAGCTACCCCTGCTTTTTTTCTGGGCTCCTGTTGCATGGAGAAATGTTTTCCAACCTTTTACTTTCATCTATGAGTTTCTTTTTTAACTAAGTGCATTTCTTACATACAGCATATTGTTTGATTTTGCTTCTTAATCCATTCTGCCA